TCAACATCCGCATATACATACATAAATGTATGTATGTGTACATACACATATATATATCTCCTCGTGTCTATATATATATATATATATATATATATATATATATATATATATATCTTGTCCACTGAATATATATATATATATATTTGTCAACTGAATAGTATAGTAGGTTTAGTTGGGCACCGTCTCTGAAAAAAAGAGTATCCTGACGCATTTCACTCGGCCAGAAATTTAGAAACGGCATGATGCACTTCTTGACATTCGCGCCGGAAGCTCCAATACGAACATTTCAGTGTATTTGGGTGTCAATCTGAGGACAGTGCTGAGGATTCGAAAAGAGCTGATATATCCAGTCAACATCTTGGTGTTTGGAACGATTACTAGTGATGGCGACGTTATGCCTCCATTCATCTTCCCACAGAGCCTCAGACTCAACATTGGAGGACATCATGTATCTTGAGACCAACAAAACTCTTAGTAAGACCAAAGATGAACTGAAAGCAAGGATTATGGCAGCATCCGCTAACTTAAAACAATGAGACAGTCCAGAAGAGTTGCAGGAGATTCAAGACTCGTCTGGAGGCCGTCGTTAAAGTCAATGGCTATTTTATTTAAAAAAAAAAAAACTAAAAAAAAACATAGTCTAGTATTTCAAGATATTTTTGTGCAATTTTGGTAAATTTATCTGTTAAAATGAGATGTCAGTGTTATTTTCATTTTTGCGTAACTGAGACGACAATTTATCTATCGCAACCTGTGTATCTTGTTCTGTCCAGCCTCCTGTATATGCACGATCTCTCACATAATTACGCAAAAATAATCACATACACATGCATATATATATATATATATATATATATATATATATATATAAATATATATATATATATATATATATCGAGAGAGAGAGAGAGAGAAATAGATATTTGCGTAAGTAAGGTAGTTTTCTAATTTGTAATCTATTCATACTGCCTCCATATTCAAGTTCAGCCCTGAATCGAACACTTCTACAGGAGATAGCTTGTTTGATTAGTTCCCGCCCAAATTCCCCCCCACCACATTGAGATATGGATATAGGATTAATGTAATAAAGCTTTTGGCTACTACCCAAGCCTTCGCCGGCTGTAGGCTCTCATTTTGTTATCTGTAACGAGTAGCCCTGCACAAAAACAAATGGTTTTTGTAACGGCCATTAAGACTTATTAAGATAGGGAAAAATTGTAGTTCGTCGCCAGATAGCAAATTATTGTACACAGGGGCAAGGAAAGGGGAAACTATTTTGATTTTTTGGGAAGTGGAAAATTTATTCTTCATATTGATGCAGAGAAAATAGATTGAGTGCAAGTGCAAAAAAATAAATAAAATAAAATATACTAATATAAAACAAAACTTACGATAGAAATTAAGTACATGAAAGTATGTTTTTGCGATGAGCAAAATGGTAAGAATGCCTTTTTGGTGAAAAGAAGTTAGATTTCAAGAACATTGCAAGACAGTATATACCTTGAAGATCCTACCTCGGTAAAAGGCATGCCGTTCATGGATTATCGTTTTAGGGAAATTGCATCTCCAGTACCAATAATGATAAAACAACATTAAATTATTACATTAGTCACAAAAGCGTAACATTAAAGCGTTAACTCATCTTAGTGCAATTAGTATAAATAACGATCATCACATCACAGGCAACCAAAAATACAACAATTAAGATATATATTAGTCAGTTATGTGCCATGCGTGATACAGGGGTAGGTGATCATGTATTTTTCGATATATGACTGACAAGGCAGATTTTTTTCGCAGTAGGTTGCCATTTCTTTCTGCGATACACCCGTTGTCATCCATGTTGACCATGTTTGTCGCAGTCCCTGAATATGGAACCCAGTGAAGTCCGTAATCTGTTCAATATCAGAGGTCGGCAGTGAAGATTCAGAGAAAGTAGCGGTTGTTAAGTAATTCTTTAAGTCTTCGATTTCAGGTTGGCAGTGCAGACAATTTGGGAGGAAATACACGTCGCATTGAATATTTTGAGCTTTCTGATTGGTTAACTCTTCTATTGGTGAACTATAAAATGAGTCAGCTCATTTAGGCTAGCTCACTAGTACCTAAAAAACTGCAACAATCCAAGGCTATAGAACCCGGTCTGTCCTGTTATTTACCCATAGCTTGGGGGAGAAGAAGAGAAATCATGCCTTTCTCAAGAATATTAGCCCGTAAGTGAATGTAATGGATTCGGCTGGAAATCGAACTCGGCTCTCTGATTCCTCAATTCGAGCTGCTACCTGCATTAAATAAAATGTCTTTCAACTCGGGAAATAGCATTTTCAAATATGTCTAAACTATTTAAATGAACATAAAATAACTAAATTACATATGAAGTAAATATTTTTGTCGTGGCAACAGGAAAATACTGATTATTAACAAAGTAAATGTTTCTGACTTTAAAATACAAATTTTACTTCATGCACTTTATTTTCTTAATCGTCTTCGATTTGATTAACACGTTTTACATTTCAGCATTTCTAGTCCTGAAGAGGTTAAAAAGTGAAACATTTTTTGCAGTGAAATTAAAAGAAATTTATGCCCACTTGCCGGGTAATTGGGATTATATTAATGAGAATGAAGAAAAGTATGTATTGAATTTTTAATTAATCAGTAAAAGTAAGTCATTTATATATCTCAACAGAAAGGGAACAGTAATCTAAACTGTTCTAATGAGGCTGTTCGCTGGTTCTGTCGAACTCTCTGCCCAAGGCAGAGTGGAACCCAGACGAAGCTGTGCCGAAGGGCAGAGTTTCGTCCTGGGAGGTAGACAGACCCGAACCGTTTATGCGGGTTTTACGAGGATTTTTTGGCCGAGCCTACGGACTCGGATGGCCCACGTTAAATTCGGCTTTTGTTTTTTTTTTGTTTTGTTTCTGTTTGGTCACGTGGTTATGTTTTTTTTGTTTATTGACTATATATTCCGTTCTCGTTTTTAACTTGTTAGCCGGCCCTCCCTGACGATCCACTTAGGTGAAAACCTAGGTTTGTCTGGCTCTCTAGGTTTATATATATATATATATATATATATATATATATATATATATATATGAAGTGGACTAAGTCCGACAAATATTTAATATATTTATTGTTTATACGTTATTTTTAGATAAATTTTATTTAAGGCAATGCTGTTTATATATTTATTATTATGTCTATTATATAAAAAAAAAGTATTACTCACATTTACCGAAATTTTTAAGAAATATGGTCTTTGCAAGCCAGATGCTCCTCTGTAGCTAAGTTGGTAGCACGTCCGATTCATTGATGGTTCCACTGTAAGACACAGGTCCGATTCCTGTCGGAGGACAACATATTTTCTGCGAAGATTCTCGGACATTCAGGCCGGTAAATATGACTAATACTATTAATTATAAACAGAGCATTTCCTTAAATCAAGTATATCTAAAAAATAAAGTATATCTATCTATCTATCTATCTATCTATCTATCTATCTATCTATAACGCTAAACTTCCAATATGACAGACGTGAGAACGACTCATCTTGCAATTATATGTATACTGACAGCGCTCAGAGCAAATGGAATAGAGTAGTTGACGGAAGAAATTAAGGAGACATCTCGTAACATCGGTGAATGAGCTCATCCCAAAAAAGCTAGAAAAGAAAGAAAGAAGTGGATGACAGATGAAATTTTCGAATTAATGAAAAGGAGGGGTACAGAATACATAATACAGATACAAATACATTGTTGACTATGTTTGCCGTAGTCTCTGGATATTGAATCCAGTGAAGTACGTAATGTGTTCAATATCAGAGGTTGGCAGTGAAGATTCGGAGTAGCAGCTGTTAAGTAATTCTTTACGTCTTCGATATCAGAGGTTGGCAGTAAAGATATTTTGGAGAAAAAACAAAATGGCTGCCTTTATACACGTCGGATTGAATATTATGAATTTTCTGATTGGTTAACCCTTCTGTTGGTGTACTATAAAATTTTGACTGGCTCACTGATTTTGACTGGCTCACTAGTACAAAAACTACCCCCAAAATTCTAACATACATATCGGCAAAAAAGGGATAGCAGACCAAAAAAAATGGAGGGATAGACAGAATGATCATCAAAGATAACGCAGGTATACATAAAGGTACAAAAGAAAGAAGAGAACAAAGAACGTGCTCCTCGACAGAGTACGTAAAATTAAGAGAGGAATCTCTCATTAAAAAAAACAAAACAGAAAATACTTAAACGATGGAACGAATATACAGTAGACATCTTCCATGACGAAAGAGTCTAAACGGTAATATATAAAAACATAGAAAGACCTGAAGTAGGATTGGTACTGGCCAAGGTAAACAGAAACAAAGCAGCAAGACCAAAATGGATTGTAATAGACATGCTATTAGCTTTAGATAAATTCGGGATCACGATTACCGAAATAACAAATGAAATATACGACACAGGGGACATGTCAGACGACATTGGTAGATCCATCTTTTTAACGTTACCTAATAAACCAGGTGTAGATGAATGCGAGCTCCGTTGTAAAATCAGCTTAATTAGTCAAAGAGATAAGCTTATCCGTATTCTGATGAAGAGGTGCCGTAGCAGAATTACCGCAAGATCAAAATAGTTTCGTTAAAGACACTGTAACAAGAAATACAATCTTCTCCCTTTTTACCTAAGTGGATTACTTCCAAGACTGCAGTAAAAATAGATGTTAGGGCGTATATTTAGCTATTTTCTAACAGTGTATTGGGTAACTCTGTACATCTGTCTGCGTCGCTGTCTGTCTTTCTATCTATTTCAATCTCTTCATTATCTATCTATCTATCTATCTATCTATCTATCTATCTATCTATCTATCACTTAGCGGTGATGTAATTAAGCAAGTTAAAATAATTTTCGTGTCGGTTGATATTACTTTGTAAAAAGGCAAGTAGGAATCCTGGGCAAATCGGTGACCAGTTTGATAAGTGAATGAATTGCTGCAGGAAAGTAAATTTAAAACACAAAATTAATGCTTGGGAAAAAAAAAAAAAAAAAACAGAAGTGAATGAACAAAGGAGAAGAAAGAAAAAAAGTGAGACTGGAGACAATGAAGAAAAGAAAAAGAATGGACGAAGGAGAGAAAGTAAAAAAAAAAATGAAAAAGAATGAACGAATAAAAGGAAAGAAAAATAGATGAAAGAGAGAAAAGGAAAAACCGGCCTTAAAATAGACGAATGAAAGAAAATAAAAAAAAAACAACAGACACGCATAGGCGAAATAAAAAAAAATGTCAATAATGGACGAAGAACAGAAAATGTAAAAAGGCAACAATAGAATAGACAGAAAAAAAGCAAGAATGGTCAAAGGGGTGAAAAAATATGAAGAGAAAAAAAAACAAGAATTAGTAGAGAAAGAGCAGAAATAAGTAAGATGTAAAGAAGAGAAGGCGAATGAATTAGTGAAAAGAAGAAAGGTTAAATGTCTTAAAATAATTAACTACGACCGGCAGGAATGAAAACTGAAATTGCTGTTTTAATTGTTTTTGGAAATTAATTCTGGAAGCTAATATTCTAATTAGATTGAATTGCAATACAGCGTTTTGATTAATTGTTTCCCCTAACCTTGCATAATGGTTACAGATAAAACGTTTAAACTAAACTGATATTCCGTACAACCGTACAGAGACAAAGCTTTAAATAAACTGAAGACGAACAAAATCACTGGAAAGGACTTGCGAGTTGAGAATAAGCATTGCAGCTTCCTTCGTTTTCTTTTAAATTTATAACTCAAAAATCTTGTCAATGAATTAATGGAATTTATAATGCAAGATACAAGATTTAAATGATTAGGATATATAACCATGAGGTGATGATCAGAAGCGTTAATCTCAAAATCCATTTGTAAACATTATACATTCATTGGATGATGAGGTCTTGTATATTGTGTCCAGGTTATTCATACATGCGTAGACGTACAGGATAGGAAGATGAAAATGGAGAATGAAAGCGGAAAGAGTTAAGAAGAGGGATTAGAACTCTCATAATTAGAGATATAGGCAGTTAGAAAAAGAAAATAAAAAATTCAAGAGAGAAACGTTTGCAGAGAGAAATACATTCTCCATATGAGAAGAAAGAAATTATCACATTTAATTGGGGTGGAGGCGATGAAGACTAGAGGGAAAAATATGAATGAAGAGTAAAAGAATTGTTGTTATCGATTTCGAGACTGATCGTTAGCTGGAATCACAGGTGATTAATTCGGCACATCGCCATTACAGCAATCGATGTATCGAACGAAGAGAGAAATAAAACCAAATTCTTTTGTAATATTTCGCTCGATCGAGGTCTTCACTTATAAAAAGACTTGCATAATCCCATTACAAAAATATAAAAGCCCTTCAGTCCATTCGTCCATATGTATGTTTTCTCTATCGAACACTGTTACTATTGGGCTTGTATAATTCACTGCGTTCTCTGTGATTATGAAAGCAATGTTGGGCTTTCATTTCAGTGAATGGGCTTCCATATTTAGTAATCATTTCTTCATATTAGTGGCTAACGGCTTCTAAAACTTTTTTTCACTAAATATACGATGATACGAGCACCATTGCCTCAAAACACTTAGTTTATACAATATTTACAACAGTAACTGTTTAATGCGTATCACGAATTGGTTTTAGACAATATCTGGACCTAACTGGTCAGTGATATGTTGGCCACTAACATGATTATCGCTGTAGTTTGCAAACGGTTCAGTAAGGTTCATTAACAAATAAATTATAAAACTGAAAATTATTTTAAACATTGGGGCGAACTGTCAGCTTGTGAAATAATATACGAATGAGAATCGATGTTTTCAAATAGATTTTTGTTAAAAAATAAGTGAAAATCAATTTTTGATATCATCTTCAAAATGCTTTTGAAAAACGGAAGAAAAGAAAGAACATCCAAAATGAATAATAATAATAATAATAATAATAATAATAATAATAATGAAATGTTATTGTTTCTTTTTAAAAATAGAAAACGAAATCTGATATAACATTATAAAATTATGTACTGGACCTTGTCAATGCGTCATGTTACGGGTTCATTTTACAGACGAAAATTTAAAAGGGAACTCCAGATCAATTTTATCAATGCTAATATCAGGTGGAACCCATACAAAACAGACAAGTTCTTCCACATCAGCTTTAGGTGACAGTCTGGTAACCATATTCAGTTCTGGTTTTATGGCGGTTTGGTACCAAAGAGCCACTTCACGTCTGCGCAATGAATATTTTAAAAGCATACTGCGATGCGTACCCCACGCCTCTCACTACCAATTAAAAGAAAGGTTGACTTGAATAGGACAACGATAGTAAAGTTCATAGTTTTTCTGTTACAGTTTTCTTCTCCTAAATTCATGGACAAGTGGGGTTAAGAGGTCTACCGACAAATAAAGAGTTTTGTTTCGAGCAGATCATAAAATTTTATCCTGAGCTATACACGAAACCGTTGTGCTGTATAGTTCAAAGTTTTAAATTTTTACTATATGTTCTAATTAATTTTGTTCTTTACTGCAATATATATGTTATAGGTTTTGGCCAACCAAAGCAGAATTCTATCTTCTTCCAACATATTTTCCACTATTTGTCGCCATATTCATTTCTCATTTTATACTATGTCGAATTGATACTATCTTTCAATCAAAAACAGCATTTAATCAATCTCTTTAAGTTGGTGTTATCACATTACACTGGTAAATCAGAATCGGCATAAAAATTATAACTGATTAGTTTTCGCTACACTGAACTGGCTCTGAGATCCTACAGACGAGTATAAAAGGATTTACAAACAGACTATATCCCCATGAACTACTCCAACTGGCATATTTCTCCTCTTGTCTATGTTTAACTGGTTTTACAGAATTCATCAAACGGTTTTCGACACACTACAACTTTCATACGAGACGTCTCTTCGACCGACGAGTAAACGTAGATATAAACTCGAAGTTGTTATCACAACGAGCGGATGAATACATATTGTCCATTTCAAATTACTTTAATAATACATTTTTTTTGTATTCACTGATGTCGTTTTCATTTATTTACTTACTACATATTGCTACCTACATGTCTAATATCGACTGCATCTCCAAAATATTTCTACACTATTATTTACGCAATGAAATACCCAAGAGCCACTCAAGGTTACTGAATGAAGTTGTTTTATTGTGGTAAGTGGGGTAGGTAAGAAGTGCAGATCCTACCCTGGACTTGAAGAGGTTTAGATAGCAATGATCAGGGAAGCATCCACTCGGGAGTCTGTTCCGTAAAACATATCAGAAAAGCTGTTCAAATAGAACTTTCTTCTTGCCAATAGAATACGAAGTTAAAAGTGTTGCGTTTTGAATGAAGTCTTGGAAACTTTGGCGATTATTTTTAATGTTGCATGATGTGATATTGTTTTAATCATTTCATCGCAAACAAGGCAATAAAGCCACTAGGATGTAAGGAGGTTACTGAGCGTTAGAGAATATGAGAAAATAATAATAAAAGAAAAAGAATTAAGAAAACAGTAGATAATGATTGATATTGGATATAAATTTTTGAAGGTCAAAGTTAACTGTGAAGCAAGAAAAGGGAATAGAGTTCCATAAGCGTGAAGCACAATAGAAGAAACTGTTAGCATAGAACTTACGGTTATATTTAGTCATTTCAGGTGTAAAATGATGAGACCTTACCGCCAATCTAATACTGCGCTTAAATTCATAAAGTCTAGGTACCATAGCGGAAGGCTCACCAGAACAATTACTATGAAAGGATTTATAGAAAAGGCGGGAAAAGGGCTGAAGCCGAGATGCCAGATCAGGAGCAATAATATTGCAGATTAAACTTTGGATCAAGAATCTCTTAATATATAGCAGGAATACCAGCCCATAAGTGGCACTAATATTCAAAGCAAGGACGAATAGTAGCCTGATAAATATGTAAGAGTCTAGCGAGAAAAAACTGTCTAGCATGACATAGTAAACCGACTTTCTTAGCCGCAGAATCAGCAATTGATTCAATATTCTCTTTCCACTTCATGTCAGATGAGAACGTTAGTCCGAGAAGGTGCACGGAGTCACTCTGCTGGAGGTTAGCATCAGCCATGCTGATGGAAGATAAAAAGGTATCTATTAGATGTATAAAAAGTGAGCTGTTTCGTTTTTGAGGCGTTAAAATTAACAAGCCACTCCTTGACCCATTTAACAACAGAATGTAGGTCATTTTTGAGATTACCTTTCAATTTGACCATATCTAATTGATCAGACTTACTATTAAGTCAGGACTAAAAACTATTAAATTATCATTTAAACGCGTTATACGAGGACAAGGTTTCGTTTTTTTTTTATTTCGCTACACTCGGATTTACCAATGTTCCCTTACTTCTTCATTTAGCTTGCTATTTCCGGAACAAACTCATTAATTTGCCATTCGAGAAACTGATGATTGAGCATTAAATGCTATTATTTCTTAGCTAAAATTAATTTTAACAAGTTTCTGTACTCCGTTTTTTACGCCATGTATGACAAAGCGATAGTGATTAGCAGTTGTCGTAAATTAATGCTAGTCGTCTTCATTATCATCTACTTTGTGCCATTTCCCTTCAGGATGTGGAGAATTATGGCTCTCCACAGCTTTGTAACTCTTAGTAAGGTTCATCTTTTCACCATCCTTTACATACTCATTTCTGCCAACCATTTGCAAAAATTTACTCGTTTGGCTGCTCGATACTTACTTTTTACCTTCAGTATGTACTGTGAGTGCCGAATTCTCCAAGTACTCTTTTATCATGATCTCTCCTAAAAAAATTGTTTCTTTATAAGTATAAGTGTCGTTTTTGTTTTCATTTTTCTTAAAACTTCTTATTTTTTCACATCCAGTTGATATTATTCTCTGTAGAATCACGTATCTATTGACCGAAATCGCTTCTACATGTTGTGTATAACAAAATAATTCTGTTTCTGAAAACTTTGTTTAAATTTTGAAAGATATTCTTCCGGTATTCCATTGCTACTTTGGATTGTGGTGTCATCTTTTCACTCTCCTTTATTGCCTTCTCTAGGAGTTCCTGCAGATTCCTATCTGTATCTTCGATCATCAATGTGTCATTTTTATATCTTATGTTGTGCCCGCATTAAATTTGTGAAATGTATGAATAGTAACATTCATTGTGGAGTAAGATTGCAGAATGAAATATATCAGGGTAAGTATAATTTAGGAAGCCAAATAGCCTATTTAGAAAATATGTAAGATTAAAACGTTGAAAATATTTACCGTATTTGACGGCATATAAGACCCACAGGTGTATAAGACGCACCCCAATCCAGCAGGGAAAATCAAAAAAAAAAAAAAAAAAAATTAGCAATTAGTAAAATTATTAGTAAATGGTACAGCCTAGGTTATATTTATGAGGTATTATTTTGGTTAAACAAACCATGATTACAATAATAGGAAACAAAGAACACGAGTTTATAAAAACTTTATTATATCTAAAGGTAAGAAAACAAAATAAAAATCAATCAGTTATTATAATTGAGCAAAACGTTAAATAATGCGTCATCTTCCGTTCCATTAAAGGCATTGCTAATGCCACACTTTTTAAAAGATTTCACAACAATTGCTGGTCTAATAGTATCCCAAGCTTGCTTCACCCATTTGGAGACTTATGCAATGCTCTTTTTATTCTCTTATAAGTGTAATGTCGTGATCAGGCATTGCCATCCATGTCTTCCATTGCTCCTTCATGTTTAAGTCTAAGCTAATAGGAGTTGCCAGGCAGCTAATTTCGGCCGACTATCTCGAATTTTAAACCTACATATGGCATATAAGACCCAGGGACATTTTAAAAGTTATTTTTAGTAAAAAAAAAAAAAAATAAGTGCGGTTTATATGCCGTCAAATACGGTAGTTAAAATGGCGGAACAAGGTTTAGAAGAAATAACAATAAGACAAATTTATTAAGAGATAAAAAGGACAAGAAATTGTGAAGGGCTATGATCACCAACGTCCTCATGGGACACGCCATAGAGAAGAAGGTGCCTAATAGTTATCATTTCTATAGGATTCAGTAATGTTTTGTCTTTAGCCCTTACTAATCCAGCAACCATACGATACCAGTTAAAGAATTTTGTCGGACACAGATGGTTACGTTAGAATACACTAAACACGGCAGCTGCCCATTTTATTCTACTTTCAAAATAACCAGTAAAGCAGTAGATGTTGGTTAATATAGGAGAATAAAAAAATTAAATGAAAATCAACTGGAGTTTTAAATCAATCACTTGTAGTAAGTCAGTGCAGCAAACCGTGAGATCTGAAGTTGATCTGGTGAAAATTAGAACCCGATTACTTATTGATTAGTGATAGCCAAGCTGTCGAAATAAATTAAGGAATTCTTTTGTTTGGATTCAAAGGTCTAACGTGATTTATCTAAGACGTGTTACGTAATATCAGTCCTCCAATATGGCAGTAAATGCTTGACAATCTCCTCACGAATGAAGAAGAGATTTGAAACAAAAGAAATGTGGTTCTACAGAATGAGGTTGAGAATACCATGGACCAAACATTTTAGCAACGATCAAGTTTTAGAGAAAATAGAAACAAAAAGGACACTTGCACTTAACATCAGGAAGACAGGGTTGAAACTGCTGGATACATAATGAGGAAAGAGCGCTTAGAGATTTTGATACTCAAGGGACAGAGTGAAGACAAGGGAAACAGAGGAAAACAACACGTAACCTATCTAGCGAACTTTTGCAAATAAATGGCGGAACAATGTTTAGGAGAAATAACAAAACCACAAATTTATTAAGAGATACAAAGAACAAGGAATTACGAAGGGCAACGATCACAAACGCCCTGATGAAACACGACATAGAGAAGAAGGAGTTGCCTAGCAGTTATCATATTTATAGGATTCAGTGATGCGTTACCTTAGAATAAATATGAACTGTGTTAAATGTACATCTGATATTTAACATAGGTTTGCATAAAAATATGTAATATAATTTAGAGACAATTTTAAAGAGTATGCACGCACAAGTAATAATATATATATATATATATATATATATATATATATATATATATATATATATATATATATATATTACTTTTACTTAAAAGCACATCTAAGATTTCTCAAACATTGTAAAAAAATAAACTAAATTTCAAAAGACACTTTTAAGATTTCTCGAACGTTGTACAAAATATGATATTAACCATCAAATACATTTTAATGTTTCTCAAACTTTGTACAAAATATGATATTAACCTTCAAATACACTTTTCAGATTTCTCGAATGTTGTACAAAATATGATATTAACCTTCAAATACACTTCTAAGCAACGCGAATTTCAATAATTAAATATAATCAGTTGTTGAATTAATTTTCGTTATCAAAAATAAAATTATAAGAACTTTTATTACAATCTGTCTTTGTCCGTATAACGAATATCGGTATAATGCGCATTAAAACAATCTCAGAAAGGAAATACAAAATCAGCTACCGAATAAGTGAATAATTTCATATACGTTTCAGAGCAAGTTAAAAAAAACGATATCTTAGGATTTATCAAGCGATAAAATATCGAATATAAAAGTAGATCTAAGGAAATCGTGTTCATCCTTTTTTGGGGGCTAAGTTCATCCTGTCTTTTGTTGTTCGAAGTAATTTTTGATCATGTAGCACCCTTCGTTTTTCCATGTTCTGTTATCCATACACGCAGACTCGCAACCACTCCCACTACTTCTTCCGTTTACACTGTTTGCTGTAAGTGTTAATTTTTTTTTTCCTCATTATGTATTTCAGAATACTTTCTGGTTGTAAACAATACTTGTTTTTTCTCTTTTCATTGTTCAAATGTTCTGTCCATTCCATTCGTCGATAGAACTACTTTTGTATCGTATCTGCGATGAAGTTTTCCGGCATTTCCAACTTTTCTGTATTAATGTTCGTCCAGTACAAGGCCAAAGACCAGCTGAAGTAGAGGTTTCCAACGC